TTGTATAGCAGCAGCACACCTGTAGGGCAGGCCTTACTGCAGGGTTTCATAGAGACTGTGAGCGTGGCTGTTATTTGCAAGGAGTTAAAGAGATAAGGGCAGCTGACTGGAAACAGATGTGGCTGGATGCTGCTGTTGCTGGAGGTTTTGATAAAACTGACAGGGAGTTTGGTGCATTAGCTTCTTCTACTGAATTTTACTTAGCTCCTAATAGCTTGGGAAGCCCGAGAGGGCGGCGGGTGCCAGTGGGTAACAGCAGTCCTTGCTCTGTGCAGCAGGGAGGCTCCGAGTTCGTGCCGGTGGTGGTGGGCCGCGCCGCGCTGCGCTCCATGAGCCGCCGGGACGTGCTGGTCAAGCGCTGGCCGCGGCCGCTGCGCTGGCAGTACTACCGCTCGCTGCTGCCCGACGCCTCCATCACCATGTGCCCCTCCTGCTTCCAGGTACTGCCGCAGCCAGACCCTGATGGGTGAAACGGTGCTAACCACAGCAACCTCATGCTCTAAAATGTACTCCGCAAATTCCTGAATGACGTAGAGGCAGTGAAAGCCCAGCTCTGAGCTGAGTGATAGGCAGGGGAACAGCTGCCTTGCAAAACTTGGCCACAGCTGAATTTGAGAAGTTCCCCTGACAGCAAGTCAGAGCCTCTTGAGCAAGCCTTGGCTGACCAACAGAAGCTGATTTTATTTATTTCCTTTTGCTCTGTCTCTCTGACTTGCGGCCTGGTCTAGCGAGGAAAACCAGTCAGTGACTGTTACCACCTTGTGGTTCAGTCCTGCTCCTGCCTTGCTCAGAAAGGACTTCTTGAAATGCTGGAATTCAGCCATGTTTGCTTACTCAACTGCCTAATTGTCCATCCTTTTGCAGAAGTAGTTAGCAGCTTTGTGCCTTCTCAGCAGCTCTGGCAGAGGTCTGTGAAGTGCTTGCTGCTGTGTTCCAGGGTGTAGCTCTCAGGCGATCGAAACCGAGAGGACCAGTTCTCTGTGATGTTAGTTCCAGAATATCTGTGCTATTGAGCAGCCATTGAACTGAGTTTGCATTTTCTTTGGGCAGGGTACAGGCTAACTTGTTTTAAATCTGTTCCTAATTAACAGATGTTTCACACAGAAGACTATGAGCTCCTCATACTCCAGCATAATTGCTGTCCATTCTGTCGGCGGAAAGTAGATGAGTCAAACCAATGAAGAAAACCAGTCTTTTACCTCAACAACAGACTCCCCTGTTGGCTTGGCAAAACTCTTCTTAGATCTCTAGAGCTTTCCTATTAACTTAGTTATCTTGTCTCATTTTGTATGTAAGAGTGGAACCAAGTTGAAGAATTGTAACTATTTTTTTAAATTAAAATGTCTGTTTTTTGAATGTGCTCTGCATTTTCCAGACAATCAGCTGAAGCGCCGCAGAATTTTATAGGAACATTTCTAGAATCAAGTTCAGCCTTCAAGTAATTGGTTTTACTCCAGATTGTGCTCCTTAACATACACCAGTTATTGACAGATCTTCAAATAAATGGGACTATTTTTCACTATTTATTGTCTCATAATTTGCTATAATACTCATGCTTCTGATCGGGAATTTCTTTTTCCTTTCTATTCCATGTAGGCAAGAACAGCATTTAGAGCCCTTCAAATACAATCTGAAGAGTTCCACTACTCTTGGCACTGGCGGCATCTCACAGCCACCTTGGGGCAGGTGGTGGATGAATCTGTGTGGAGTTCACCTGGTTGAAGTGCAGCATGTGGGGCTGTGCACACCTGGGCTCTGTGCTGCTGCCATGGAGGACTGTGCCAAGGGAGTGCTGAGCTGGGTGTCCCCAGCATCGTGTCAGTCCTGGGCCAAGCGTGAGCTCTGTGAGCATGTGGCAGGAGCCAGGCCCGCTGCTCTCTGCTGCAGCCTCTTCTGGAGGCACGAGACATGGGGGCAGCAGTCCCAGGCAGCACCTGAGCCTCTACAATGGCTCGCTCTCCCTGCAGGACTGGGCAGGAAGTAGGAGAGCAAAGGCCAAGAAACTCCTGTGCTGAGATAAAGACAGTTTAATAGCTGCAGCACAGCTCTGCATGCAAGCAAAGCAAAGCAAGAAGGCATTTATTCCCTGCTTCCTGGAGACCAGGGTTCAGCGTGAGTAACTGTCACTTGGGAAGGCAAAATACCACAAACACAACATCCTCCCTTCCTCCCCCTTTCCCTGAGCTTTTATTTTGGAGCACAACATCATCTGGAGTGGCACAGCCCTTTGGCCAGCTGTCCCAGGTCTGTCCCTCTGTTCCCAGCCCTGCTCCGGTCTGTAGCTGAGGGACAGGGCGGGCGGAATGGAGCCCGCAGTGCTCCGGCCCAGCTGCACAGCGGTGTCTTCCCAGTGCTGGGTTAGACACCAGCACTCAGCACCCCTCGCTGCTGGGAGGGAGGTGACTCCGTGCCCGTGACACCGGCGTGCCCCTGGCAGGGACTCTCACAGGATGGCCAGGGGCATTTCCCGCCACAGGAATATTCACAGGTTACCTTCGTGACTCAGGGTCATTCCCAGCTTGGCTGGAGCTGGGGAGTGGTGCGTCTCTTGACTTCAATCTGGTATAAGCTGTGCCCATGTTGCCACGAGTTCTGTTGTGATGGCAGCCTATCTGTTCCAGCCTGCCTCTACCCTGAGTGGGCAAGGACACGAGCAACTGGCTGAGGTGGTCGGTGCTGGCAGGGCAGCTCCCATGGGAGCAGCACTTTGCACGTGAAACGGGATGTTTGTCTGCTCGAGTTCCTCTGGAAAAGGAGACCCTGCAATCACACAATCGAGTTTCTGAGTCCCTCAGTGGTTCCTGACCAAGTTTGCTTGATTTACCACTTTAAAAACATTCTGTTCTAATTACAGCTCGTCTGCTTTCTGACTCAGCTGTTGCTGTTTGCAGTGAAGACTCTGCTATTGACATGGGTAAACAATGCTGTTTGAGACGGGAGCCAGGGTGGGATTCAGCTCCTTCTGGAACTGAGCTGGCTGTGCAGAGCCAGTGGGAATGAAAAATTATAAAACTGAAGAGAAAGGGTTTGCTGTGACACAAAGACAAAATGGGCCAATGTTTTTTTAACAACTCTGTGAATACAGTCTAGCTTTGAAAAGCATTTTGGGCTTTTCTGGGCTTTTCTGCATGTCTCATATGTACATGGTGTTCTAGTCCGGGCTGCCCTGTGCCATGGAGCCCACCAGCTGGCTTCATGCTGAGGAGTCCCTGGAAGTGCAAGAGGTTCCAGCAAGGCACTTTGGTTGGAAGTTGTGAGCAATTTGCCCTGTTCCTCTCTCTCAGCTGCCTGCCTGTCCCACTACTGCATCCAGTGGTGACGCATGCCAGTCCTAAGCTCTGCACAACAGCTGCTACCTCAGCAGTGGCTTATTGCATCAGCTTAAAGTGTTTTAGGAAATAAACCTTTAATCCCTGTGTGCCCAGGTACAAGTGTAAAGAGCTGCATTTGCAGTTAGAAAGTGGCACTGCTCTGGCCTTGGAAACAAGTGTGAAAAATTAATTGAGAGGGATTTAGGGTGAACAGAGTGTGCGTGAGGACCTGGTGTTTTCATGTTAAGGTGAAGGAAGACCTTTGGGACTGTCCAGAGACTGTGGCCTGCATTGGGTTGCCAGCAGGGTCTGCCCTAGTCCATGGTGCCAGCACTTCAGCTCCTTCCACCTTCCCCACTTAGAGGGCAGGTTTCCCAGCTTGGTCTCTGCTTTAAGAAGAGTACAGTGCTTTGTCCTTTTTTCCATTAAACTTATTTCTGAACTAACTTACAAGGAACTTTGGTGAAAACTAGGCTAGGATTGGAGGAAGTTTATTAAGGCCAAGATGACATGAACTTCTGCCCACCTTACAGCCATGAGCTCCAGAAGCTCTGGTACATCTTCCTGTACTGGATGAGGCCCTTGTGTTCACCTGCTCCTGGCTGTGAAGAACGCTAAGCTCAGCCCTCAGTGCAGCCAAAACAGCAAGGGGAGGTGGGTGCTCAGCTCCCTTCCAGCCACCATCACCTACAAAGAGGCAGAGCAGAGTCTCCCTTTGTGTGCACCTCCTGTATGTTTTGTCCCACTGCGTCTGAAAAATTAAGAAGATAACTCAGCTGTGTAACTCAGCTTCTGGTTGGCACAAGCAATGTTTCAAGCACAACTGAGTGCACAGAGTGGTGAGTCAGAGACATAGAGGGCACAGAAGGCTCCAACAATAGCCTTCCCTGTGGAGTTTGATAATTACACAAGGTTTGAGGAGACTGAGGTTGTCTGTCAACCAGTATATGGAGCTGAGTGCTGGCTTCAGCTCTGAATGTCCCATCAGTGCCCTGGTCCAGCAGCCTTCTCAGCACCATTGCAGAATGACTCCAGTCCAGGACAGATGGACCAAGTTATTTATTAGCTGTGACAGGTGGAGTTGGCATGACCCAATCACATACAAAGGCACAGAGAAGATGGCACAAGTGTTAACCTGCAAGTAGGCCAGGTGTTTCATGGGGAATTGTCAAACCTCCACAGCCAGATCCTGAGTAGAGAGGTGGCTGGAGCTTGTGGAAGAAGGTTTGGTCATGCTGCCTTCCGCAGCCTCCCACAGGGACTGGCAGTATGTGGGGATGGCTCTCCAGTGGGGACTGGCTGGTCTCACAGATCCACATTCCCCTTGTGAGAATGGGACAGGGACACTCCTCTGTCACTGAGGGACCACACCATGCTTGCCCAGCCAGGCACCATTTGCAGCCCCCAAACCCACAGTCCTGGAGTTCGAACCACACATGTTCCTCCTGTTAGTGGGGAAGGGAAAGAAAGAGTGAGGCTGTAAAAATGAATGGTGCGGTGCAGAGCTACCTCTTTATATATGTGACCATGAGCCGTGGTCTGCAACACTGACAGCGTTGGCCAGAAACTGGTGTCACCTTAACACCTTCCCAGGAAAGCCAATTACCCTGGGATGATTATGATTAATAATTCTCTAAACCCTAATCGTGCTGACACCAGTGCCAGGAGCTTATAGCAGGGGCACTTTATAAGAGGTGCCCTGTGGGGGAGAGTGTAACTGGTTCTCCTTGGGGTGACAGTGAAGGCCGAGAGGTGGCAGGAGCTCCATTTCAGGGGAAATTTTCCCCTTGCACAAAAGAACTCCCAGATTAAGAGCAAAAAGCGCCTCACAAACTGCAACCATGAACGGGACAGAAGGCCAAGACTTCTACGTGCCCATGTCCAACAAGACCGGGGTGGTGCGGAGCCCCTTCGAGTACCCCCAGTATTACCTGGCTGAGCCTTGGAAGTTCTCGGCGCTGGCTGCCTACATGTTCATGCTGATTCTGCTCGGCTTCCCCATCAACTTCCTCACGCTGTACGTCACCATCCAGCACAAGAAGCTCCGGACACCTCTAAACTACATCCTTCTGAACCTGGCCATCGCCAACCTCTTCATGGTATTCGGAGGCTTCACCACCACTATGTACACCTCCATGCATGGGTACTTTGTCTTTGGAGTAACAGGGTGCTACATTGAAGGCTTCTTTGCCACACTGGGCGGTAAGTTTTCCAAATATTCAAATGTCTTCTGTCAGGAATTTCCCTGGATTTTAGTAGTGGGAGGGAAAACACAGATGATCTTGGAAAAATGTGGCACCTATAACATCCTTGACCTGCTGATCTGATGTGGACTGAGGCCATTTGCCCTGTTTCTGGTAGGAGCTGAAGAAAGTGACAAGTGACACTTTAAAAAAAAAAACAACTTTATTTTGAGAGCCACCTGCTCAGTATCCTGAGAATCACAATGATGCAATGAAAAGCAGCCAATATCAGATTCTGCAGTTGTTGGATTTGTGCATCTCCTCGGCTCACTTTCTGACTCGAGAGATGACAATTTTGTTCCTCATATTTTGCAGGGCTGAATCTGCCATTGGCTCTGGTTTGGTGCATGCTGTTACAGGCAAGCACAGCTGTCTCTCCTCCCCATGCCAGCCTGGTATGGAACCAAAGAGATGTTAAAACAGAAATTGTGTGTAAAAATGTCCTCCTCCATTTGTCTCAGCCTTCAGCCACAGCTACTGTTTTACTGGCTTGGTCCTTGTGGCACAAGTTTTCTGGGAAGCTGAGGGTACTGAGGGGAAGTCCTGGGATCATGGGCACTTGCTGCATTTCAGAGTGTGACCACAGGCTTGCAGGTGCAGATGTTGTCTGGGATGAATGGTGGGATCAGCCATGAATCTCGAAACACTGCAGCAAAGTGGTTCCTGTGGGTCAGCAGTACAGAGAGAAGGGGTCTTCTCACACTGTCCTACCGCATGTGCCCTTGACCATTCTTCATTTATCTTTCTGCACTCTTGGCAGAGATTAAGCTTCTGCCAGAGGTTGTACTCAGGAACATCAGTCTGAGGAGGCCTCACGCTGCCATCAGGGTGGTTTCTTTTCCTGCTCAAAGTCCCTGTGTCCCTTTCTGTCCCTCTTCCCGGTGCAGGTGAAATTGCTCTCTGGTCACTGGTGGTCCTGGCTATCGAAAGATACGTAGTGGTCTGCAAGCCCATGAGCAACTTCCGCTTCGGGGAGAACCATGCCATCATGGGTGTTGCCTTCTCCTGGATCATGGCCTTGGCATGTGCAGCTCCCCCACTTTTTGGCTGGTCCAGGTAGGGAGGGCAATGGACCCAGTGTCAGGGGTATGGGAGCCTGGCTGGTGGCTCAGCTGTGGCTTCCAGCCAGTCTCCTCTGCTGGGTGCTGATCTGCTGGGCTCACCTTGCAGGTACATCCCCGAGGGCATGCAATGTTCGTGCGGGATTGACTACTACACTCTGAAGCCAGAGGTCAACAACGAATCTTTTGTCATCTACATGTTTGTGGTTCACTTCGTGATCCCGCTGTCGATCGTTTTCTTCTGCTATGGGAATCTGGTTTGCACTGTCAAGGAGGTGGGTACCCATCAGATGAATGGCCAGTAGGGCTACCCCTGTTCCCAGTGCTGGGAAGGGGCTCACACCAGGTTCAAGAATGGTGCTAGGGAGGGTCCTCCAGGGGCCAGCCTGGCCATCCATGAAAAGGGAAATAGCAAACTCCAGATGTGCAGCTTGACTGCTGAGAGCCCTGACCCTGTGTCCCTGCTGGTGCAGCACCCACTGGCTCCATCGTGTTTCTGCTCCTTTCTGCCCCCAGGCTGCCGCCCAGCAGCAGGAGTCTGCCACCACCCAGAAGGCAGAGAAAGAAGTGACTCGCATGGTCATCATCATGGTCATCGCCTTCCTGATCTGCTGGCTCCCCTATGCTAGTGTCGCGTTCTACATCTTCACTAACCAGGGCTCAGACTTTGGGCCCATCTTCATGACCATCCCGGCGTTCTTTGCCAAGAGCTCGGCCATCTACAACCCTGTCATCTACATCGTAATGAACAAACAGGTAACTGGCAGGGTGCCAGGAAACCCCTCTTTTGTGTTTCTCTTTTTAACAGCTAGCAGAGAGTTACAGCATCTCAAGGTGCCAGTGGTCTGGAGCAGGGATTGTTTCCAGGAGTTCTAGTCCTGGCGCATGGGACTCTGCAGCTCATCCGTGGTGTTGCATAAATCTCACAAATGCAAGGCCACTCCACCTGAAATAATGCAGGTGCCGGGTTGATGGAGGAGCCATGATGGGAGCAGGCAGGGCTGGCAGTAGATGGGGTGGGCAGCAGGCAGTGGGGCAGGAGACTCCACATAGGCATAGTTCTTCCTGCACCACAGTACTGCTGGGATTCAAGACAGCTCTGCAGCTAGAGCTGCATGGTGTCCATCTGGCTCACCCTGGACTTCCCTCTCTCCCAGTTCCGTAACTGCATGATCACAACCCTCTGCTGTGGCAAGAACCCACTGGGTGACGAGGACACATCTGCTGGCAAGACAGAGACCTCGTCCGTCTCCACCAGCCAGGTCTCTCCTGCATAGGCCCCCTGGGAGCAGCAGTCCCTGGGGTGCTGCCCTGGCAGCACAAACTTAACCCCACCGCCACCACCACCTGCCCCTGCTTCACCATGGCCAAGGCCCCGTGGGGCGGCTCCTCGCTCCTGGCTCTAGGAACCCTGGGAACAAGGCTGAAAATGTGTACACATGTTTTGTAATTAAAATGCAAAGGCTTAGCTCATCTGGCATAAATCCATGCATTTCTGTTGACTTGCTGAGACCTCATGCCCCTTCTCTGAGTGCAGGCTGGGTTGGAGAGCTCTGCCATCCTGGGCCATGGCAGAGCTGTCCTTGCCTCCCTCAACCCACCCTGACATGCCGGCCAAGGGCCAGGGCATGTTCTGCATGTCCTTTTGTCAGAGATGGATCCTAGCCAGTGCTGCCAGTCACTCAGCCCCATCACACCCTCTGCCCAGAGCACGTTTGGCTGCTGCAAAGTGCCCCGGCTCTGCCAGCTGCTCCCAGCTCTGGCCCTGTCCCATCTGCCAGAAGTCCTGGGAGACACCATGATTCCTGCAGGGGGATGGGACAGATAGCGGCGCCGGGTCCTGCCTGGCAGGCAGCTGGCACGGAGGGCCATGCCAGCACGGCACAGCTGTGTGCGGCCACAGCTCTCCGGGACAGCTCTGTGCTCAGTCCTCCAGCACTGGTGCAGCAGCACATGGATGGTGTTTGCACCCTCAGCAGCAGCTCTGCTCCGTGTTCCCCAGCACCCCTTCCCCACACTCCCACCTCTCTTCCTTAGGCTTCTTTGGACCCCTAGGCCCAAGCCCCCAGCAAGGTTGCCCGTGCCCGTGCCCATTTTGGCTGTGGTCAGTTTGGCCTTGGCCCAACAGGAGGTTTAGGGCAGCTCTGGTGCTCTGAGGCCTGCTGGGCCAGGGCTGATCTCCCTCCACGCCGCAGCAGGCAGGACCCAGCAGCATATGGCTCAGCGATGCCAACATATGTTCGAAGCACTACAAGATGGCATATTGCAATTGTAGCGGTGTTCTTCATTTTTATTTTTAGTTCAGTTATACAAATAAGATGTTTTTCTCACTGTTTGGTGTTATCAACACTTGAAACTATTTTTGTACATTATTATCCCCTCTGATTTCTAATCCTATGCAGCTTTGCAAGGACTAATAGGGAATGTATAGAGCCCATGCAAGTTAAACCCTTAATAAAGAGCAATTTGCAAGTACAATTCTCTCATTATTTTTTTATCTATACTTCTGCATATTCAGTGAAATCTAAAGATTAGAGTTTTATGAATAATTCAGTGTTTAGGCTGATGTCTGATTCATGCTCTTCATATCTGGGAGGTGGTTTTGGAGGGAAGAGGAGGAAGGATTTAGTGTTTATTTGCTGTCCGTGAGGCTGTGCTCCACAGGAGTGTGGTGATGCCTTGCACTGTGGTTCTCCCACCCGTGGAGGACTAGCCCTAGCCCCAAACCTGCAGGCTGTCCCCACACTGTGACACCTGTGGCTGCTGCTGGTGGTGCTAGGGGAAAGCAAGGGTTTGGGACCCTCCTGCCAGTTCAGCCAGGTGCCAGAGGCATCACAGAGCTACCAGAGAGGTGATGGATGGATCCAGGATGAGGAAATGCATCCAAACTTTCTGTGGTGCCAGCCCCAGCAGCTTTCCTGTGCCCCCACTGTCCTCTTCCTGGGGAATTCAGAAATGCACTGGAAATGAAGAAATGAACAGGCCGGGGCTGGTCTGGGGAGGAGGAGGACGTGGGGCTCCAGGCAATGGGTCTATCTCCCAGCTCCCTGCTCCAGACCTGGCTCCTACTGGCACCTCAGCCAGGATCTGGCCCCTGGGCTCAGGAGGTGGGTGCAGACCTTGGCAAAGGACTCCATGGACAGTGCTTTTCAGGTCCATTGCTGTGGTCTGCTGAGATGGCCATGAGCCAGTCCTGCCATCATGTAATCCCTCTTTACAACTTCCTCACGTTTCCAACAGACAGTGCACAGAAAATCCCTGTGAGTCCTGCGTGAAGTGGGCGGTCCCCACTGTGGGGACATTTGCAGTGGGGACTGTTTCTACACCAAAGAGCCACTGGTGTTTTACTCAGGTTCTCCTCACAAGCACAGGTGCCTGCATGGAGGGGTCACGGAAGTGATGTGGCTACCCACGTCGAGGGCTGGGAGTGCTCTCCCCTGAACATGGGATTCAGTGGGTGAGGGCAAATTGTTGTCCTGCTTGTGACACCTAGGTATGCTGGGCGAGAGTTGCTCCTCCTGCCTCTGTTGGCTAACAAAGCAGCTCTTAATTTTCCTCCTCTCACTTGTGAAATCTTCACCTCCCCCCATCCCAGCATTATCCCATTTCCTAGTGAGGCCATATGTGGTAAGGCAGACAGCACATCCCACCTTCACACTGGCCATGGGTTTGTGTGGCCCTGTGCTCTGGGCTGGTTCCCTGTGCGCCCCACAGCAAGTGTTGTCAGCAAGCTGCAATCCCAGCACCCCAATACCCACCTTGCAGCAGGTAAACACCCTTTGTCTGCCTGTTCAGGGCACTCACCCTGCAAACCCCCATCTCTCATCCTTCTCCAAACTCTCTGCTTAGGTGTACCCCTTCTTCCTCCAGCCCCTCACAAAGCTTTGACAAAAGCTCTTTAACTTCCAGACCCCAGCTTCCACCAGGGTTTCGACCACAGCAATTAGCAGCTGCCAACCAGCACCTGCAGCCAGGCTGCTCATCAGATAAATTGGATGGAGGTGAGCTTGGTAAGGCAGTAGGGCTTGTGCTGCTGTGAGTAGAGGTGTCTGTGCCTGCCTGGATTTGTGCGCTGCTATGGAGCCCCAGCTGGGTAAGGAGTCTGCAAGTGCCGTGGGGTCCCTCAGAGCTGGAGCTTGGGTCATGCCCTGGGCTTGGGGGGGCTGCAGGGATGAGCAGGGTTGTGGCTGCTTGGCTTCTGGGGGCTTTGAGGCTGCTGGGGGTGTGGATGTCTCAGGACTGGACTTCAGTCCCAAATGGTCTCTCTTCCAGCAGCCAAAGCTGCTGGCATCGCCCCGCGCAGGCAGGCCCATCACCCTCCAACCCTGCAGATGGTCAAGGAGGCACTGCAGGCTCTTGATGAGAAGAAGGGTGCCTCTGCCGTTGCCATCAGGCGTTTCATCTTGGCCAAGTACCCCACTGTGGACTCCATCCGCCTCAAGTACCTGCTGAAGCGGGCGCTGAGCAAGGGGCTGAGCTGCGGGGACCTGGTGCGGCACAACTTGTCTTCTGTGGGGGCCACTGGCACCTTCAAGGTGAGCAAGGCTGCTGGAGCCACAGGGCTGGGGACTGAGGTGCTGGCTGGCCCTGTTGACTCCCCTCTCTCACCTCCAGTTAGCATGCAGGAAATCAGGGCAGAAGCAGCAGCTGGGCCGGGCAGATCCCGACAGAGGACAGGCCCCGAATCCAGGGCAGAAGGGGACCGCCAAGGAGCCCCAGGCGCCCGTGGCAGGAGCACGAGGTAAGGGGCTGTGGCTGTGTGAGCAAGCTGACGCTGCCTGCCCTCCCTGGACTCATCCGCTGCCCTTCCTCCACAGGTGCCGCCAGGACGCAGCCGAAGGCGAAGCCCGTGAACGTCAGTCGGGGCCAGCAGCAGGGTTGGGTGGCTCGTGGCACAGCAACACCCTGAGGTGCTCTCTTCTCTCCCCTCCAGGCCCAGCCACGAGCAGCAGAGAAGCCCAGGAGCGGCAGAGTGAAGCACCCCCAAACTGCTGACCAGCCCCGGGCTCATGGCCCAGGGCCTTCAGGGGCCCCAAAAGCTGCTGGCCACCGCCAGGCCCCCCGAAAAGGACGCTCAGGACCCAGCACGGCTCGGGCTGCTGAGAGCGCAGGAGGGAGCGATAGCGACAGTTCTGCAAGTGCAGGGGTGAAGGGGCCCCAGAAGGTCCCCAGGGGAAAGAGCAGGGTGAAGGTGCCCAAGGGGGCACAGCAGGATGCCCCCAAGGCACAGGGAGGTCAAGGTCAGGCGAAGAAGCCCCGGGTGACTCCAGGAGCTGGGCAGGGGAAGGTCAGGATGAAGAAGGCAGCCTCTGTGGCAGCAGACAAAAAGGCTCCATAGGGAGCTTAGCCCTGCTTCAACTGGCCCCAGGCCCTTGGGGTCTGTGCTGGTTTCAGTCCCTAGGACAGGTTTTAACTCTGTGTTCACCTCACCCTAATAAAGCTTCTTTACTTGCCTCATGGAATGGCATTTCTGTTGTGGGTCCCTGTCCCGGCACTTCCAGCTCTCAGTGCCAAAATCCCCCAGCCCTGTCTCAGCCTGACCAGCGTGGTGGTGAGCTGATGCTGCAGGCCTTGCTGCCTTCCCTCACGGAGAGGTTCTCTCTCTGTTCCCATGTGTCCCCAGCTGTGGTGCCAAGGGGCTGCTGGGCTTGGGTGCTGGGTGTGTGCAGGCTGACAGTGTGCCAGGTGATGGGCAGGGACCTGGAGACCCGTGGGACGCGTCATGGTGACATCCCCAGGAGCAGAGAAGCTCAGGCTTGGCCAGTGCTGCTGTGGAGCCATGGTGTCCAGCCCTCTGTTGTCCTGGCTGCCCTTGTGCTAATGCCTGGCTGAGCTGGGATTACAGGAGCACCAGGGTGGCAGGTCTGGGCACATGCCGTGGGCAAATGTCTCTCAGCAGAGGTGAAGCAGCCTGTGCTTTAACTACAGTAAGAGGAAGACAGAGGTGTCTCAGGGCTCAAAAATCAAGTTTGGGGTGTTACTGTAGCCTCCAGTGCAGCTCTTGCTCTTATTACCAGTCTATGGCACAGCTCCCACCTACAAACTTGTCTTGTGAGCTCCTGTGGGTTGGTGTATCACACTTCCATTTAATAGTTTCAATTGCCTGAGTTTCTCTTGCTCTGCCCAGAGCGGGGCCCTTCTGAAGGTCATGCTGATCATGTAAAGGGTTACAGTCCTCCTGGGTGGGAGAAAATAAGTGGAAGTAAAACTCTTCCTAAAGAGGATTTTGTTAATCTGCAACTGGCCTTGTCATTGCCCTCCAAGGCTCCTGGCCTTGCTTTGGGGCTTAAGCACAAGCTGAGCAAACTAACTGTCCTTAAACTTCAGCCTTGACTGTGTTGATCCATCTCTAATGAACTGGAACTCATGTCCCCCCCAGGGACAAGGTGGGGAATGTGGCAGCAGTAACTGAGTAGCGTTCACTGGATTCTGAGATGGGGGTGGCTTTACAGAGCCCCACTCAGCCGTGTGGCAGTGTCCCCAACAGTGCCAGGCAGGGACTGTGTCCTCCCTCTCACCCGCCACTAGGTGTGAAATGCAAAGCTCTCTTGCTTTGAGAGAGGCCAAATAATTTAATGGCTGGATTTAGCTTTGCAAAGAATCAGCTTCCTAGTGGAAGAAGAAAATTCCTCTGGTGTCTGGAAAGCACAGCTTTTACTAGGGCAGGGGGAAGATTTAGCAATGCCATGGTTATTAAGGGCCCTGGGCCACAGCTGGTGTCGGGGTGCTGAAGCTGCAGACCCAAGTCTGGTGCAGGGAGGCACCTGACAGAGGTGAGGTGCAAAACTGAGAACAGGTTGGCAGCTGGCAGCAGCTGCTTCTGTGGGGTTATTGATCTTCATGTGCACAGTGCTGGTCAGCTCAGGTGCTGTTGTTCTCATGCTGATTGTCCCCTTCCCTGCCTGATCCAGGAAGGAACTGGGGCATTGGCTGTGGGAGTGGTGTGTGTGAGGTGAGGGTACAAACCTGTTCTCACTGGGCTGCTGACCCTACACATGGTGTGTCTTGCATGTGCAAAACTTGACTGTGCAGGTGTCACCCACGTGTGTCCTCCCCGTGTGCTTGGCAGGAACTGCACTCCATAGGTTCAGCACCTTGTTTTATTACAAAGATAGGCTTTGCCAGGAGTCTGCCACTTCCACTACACAGCAGGTAAGGGCACTACACCCACAACACGTGCCAAAGTTTAAAAACATCTTACAAAGGGCTTGGAGGTTCAAGGCAACACTACAAACCCTCTGCTGAAGTTGTTCCTTTAAATGGTTGTAGTAACTACTTCTTTTTTTTTTTTTTTTTTTTTTTTTTTTTTTTTTTTTTTTTTTTGGCTTTGGAAAAAATTAAATAATAAAACAATAGCCCCAATACATGGCCCAGACACAGCACCTGGAGGCAAACTCTTACTCACCTGTATCCTTTCCCTGTAACAAACAACATGGAGCTATAGCTCCATGGCCCTTTCCCTGCCTCCAGCCAAGCTCAACATTCTCTGCTACCTTGGTCCTTCTCACCCTGGCCTTTCTTGTGCTGGGCCTGCCTACATCTCTGGCAGCTATTCACAGTTTCTAAAAGACAAAACATCAAGAAATTTTTGTGAAATCACTTTCAAAATAAAATGTAGCCCAGCTACATATTAGAGTTTCTATTCTGAAGCCACATCCTCAGCAAAGACATTGAGACCTCCACAGTGTAAGTACTTTTTCTGTCGTTCTCTTTAAAAAAACTCTGTTCTTCCCCTTTCCCTCCCCTCCCTCCCCACATTTTAATATACTGGATAAAGTCTACTGTTTGTTTTAAAATAGATATCTATGTACACATACACAACTCTGATGTTCTGGTTTCTGACAAATGTGGCACTACTGGAAACGATGGCATGGAGGCCACCTGTCCATGGCAGTGAATCACCCAGCGGTTTTGGTGGACAGAGTCATCCAAAGCCAGACTGCACCCTAGCCAGCTGGATGACTACCAAAGGCTTCCCTTACACTCTCCTGCAGTGAGGTAGTAACTGTGTTTCTTTCCTGTGTGGCGTTCCAGCCGTGGTGTCACGCCGTGGGCAGGAGCCTTGCCGTGCAGGAATGCTGGTTTGGACGCGTGGCGCTGCCTGCGACCAGCCTCGGCGGGGGCCCGAGCGGTCACCGCTCCCCAGGCTGCAGGAGGGAGAACTGGCCACCAAGCTGGGTTGCCAGGGTGGCACTGGGGTGTCTAGTCTTGGGCAAGCTCCATTTGTCTGCTGCTGGGACCCTCTCAGTGAGCCCAGCCTGAGCTGGGACTCTGCCTTAGTTTGCAGCTCTGGGTGCTGGAGATGCCCTGCTGGCCTGTGTCGCTGCTGGGCTGGCATGGTTGGCCAGTCCCCTGCCTTCAGGGCTGAAAGCAGGCTGGCCATGCAGCCAACCCCACTGTCCTGGCTGCTCTCAGGTACCAGCCCCAGGGCTGGGCCCAAAGCAAGCAGAACAAGCTGCTTTAGGCGACACCCTGCAGGAGTGGCCTGATGCTTGGTGATGGTCACAGGGAGAGGCAGAGACGATGCTCTCTGGTGTTTGCCCTGCGTGTGGCTTCGGGCCACTGTCAGAGGCTGTCAGCAGGCCCCACGGGCACGAGGGCTGAGGTGCTGCAGTGCCACGGACACATGGAGCCAGCGTGGCGGGCAGGGTGAGGGGCAGGTCCTTCCCCGCCCGCTGCACCCCGCTGCAGGCTGGTGCAATGTCCACCTCCCTGCTGCGCTCCAGCCACGCACGAGACACGAGAGCCCAGGGAAGGCAGAACAGCCCTTCCCGTGCTAGCACAGACTGGGCTCCCTGCAGGTCCCAAACAGCTGTGTCCATGTGGGATAAAGTGCTTTCACCTTGCCTTAGCTGCTTGGGAGGCAACTGCTTTGTATCAACCTCGAGTTCCCTGTGTTGCCCAAGTCTCATATGGAGGAGTGGTTATGTTTACACATACAGTACAAAAATTAAAAGGCACAAATATACACAGAATGCAGCAGATAGTGAACAGCTGATAAGAGTCCCTGATGTTGGAAAAACAAGGATGTTGGAGGGATGGAGTGGGAGCTCAGGCTATGATGGTCTTTGCTGTCTGTAGTCGTTACTCCCTGAGGTGACCCTTCTGCTTTGTGTCTGTTGTTCCAGCCTCTGCAGCCCCGTCCCGAGGAACCATGCACCAGGGATGCACGGAGTGCTGACGGCTTGGGTGCTGACCAAGGGGAAAGTGGTGAACTGAGCTTGCCACAAGGGTCATGCCTCCATTTCTGGCTGGCAGCAGCAAATAAATTATGGGTGCCACAGTGCAAACCAGAAGTTTTAGCTGCTCGGAAAGGCGTCTCGTGGCTTCCTGTGAAGTGAGGCAAACTTGTAGCCACGGCCAGGCCCACCCCCTCCACAAGGCTGGTCTGAGTATGACCAAGGTAAGCCTGCGGCTGAAGCTGTGCTGCAAGAAAGGTCACTTCTAGGGCTGCAGCCAGCCTAGGCTTCACTGCAGGACTCATAGATGTTGTCCTCCATGAGAGCAATCACTTGCTCAAATTTGTGCTGGAGCTGGGTGCGCTTTGTCGTGGGGTTTGCGTCCAGGGCGGCCACGATCTGTGGGAGACACAGGCAGGCAGGGTGCTGAGGCAGTGTGGGGTGCCCACCTGCCAGCCCAGCTCACCCCACCAGACCTATGGAGCCCAAATTCCAGCCAGAGCTCCAAAGGTGAGAGCCCACCCAGCCCCACAGCCCCTGTGCTCACACTGCTGGCACTCCTGCTCTCCTAGGGTCCCTGGTCAGGGCTCAGAGTGGAGTGGTATCTGACAAAAATGCACTGCTGTAATAGAGCTGAGGCCACAGCCCCAGCCCACAGGTTGCAGGGGGGCAGGAGCCAGCCAGGGCCACTGCCTCAATGGGGCAAGGACAGCGGGTGAAAGTTAATTTGGGGGTGAACCTTATCTGCACATTTTCTCTCTGAAAGGGTCTATACATCTGGCAGCCCTCCTTCAGCCCAGCCGAATGCCATTAAGATCAGGTGGGAATAGCCAGCCTTCTCTTCCAAGAAGATGCCAGCCAAGGGACAGAGAGTAGGTGCATCTATTACATATGTACCGCAATTATGCACACCCCAGCAATCCTGTTCTGTGGGACTGGATATAGGTGTGTGCCTGCAGGGTTACTGCAGCAATGGTTGTCCCTTACCAGGCAGGCCAGAGCCCATGTGCTGTAAAACCCACTCACCTGGGAGCGGTATCTCTTGGCGTATTTGTATATCTCAGCCATGGCGACATTGGTGTTGAACTCATTTCGGTATTTCTTTATAAAGACAGAAAAGAGAGGGGAGAATATTAGCAGGATGGAGCATGTGAGTTCT